AGCTATATGATTCTTACCTTTAGTAAAAGAATATGCTCAATTTTTAGAGCATTATCTAATTCTTTATATGTTTGTTCGGTAAAAGTAAAGCTGAAACTTAAACGTGATGCTTTGGCGACGGCCACCCAGCATAAAACGATTTCGTTTACGATTTGTGTAGATGATGGTATCTTGTTTGTTGATGTTGTAAGTTGTCTTCATAGAAAAGCCAAATTAGTATCTTTGATATGCGAAGTTGTTAAAAACCTTCGTAATAAAAATGGCATGATCATTGCTAATCTCAAACAATCTGAGAACATAAAACTATTAAAGTGTTTTATTGGGTTGGTGAGATGACCCCAACTAGAAGGTGTTTCAAAGCTTTTCTAATAATTTAAAAATATACTTTGCCCACTTGGATTTAACATTGAAAAAGTACAATCTATTAATCTTTGACTTTTCCATCTACAGCATGGTATGTGTCTTGAGGTGTTTGTAAATGATGGTTTTATGTCAGATGATTCAGAATACTAGGATATATACTTAGACCATGTTCCATACAATAGTCACTAATTGTTTTTTGTGATGCTCTCTCTTTGATTAAGTTTTCTAATTTACTTATTTTCTTATCTGTAATATGATGATATCAGGAATTAAGCTTAACATCAAAACTAAGATCACTTAATTGTTCCTTAGGCACCAGACAACTTCTACACCCTAGATTACCAATATGATGTTTCGTATCCACAAGAATCTTGCCCTGAGGGAGATTGAAGGTTACAACACCTAAAGCAGCAATTATCTATGTGTTGTGATCTAAAATATTTATTAAAGTACCTTTTTATAGAATTTTAATTTCATTTACAATTGGTTTCATTATATCATCAAATTTACCTCCAAATAGAACAAAGCCCAAAACAAAGTGGTTTTTAAATTGTTTTCTTAGATATAAGGGCATGTTACAAAATTGAAGGTAAATTGCACCCAACGAATGATACACATTGCGGAACATGCCAAAATCATTATACTAAATTTCTAGCATTATCTTTAATGCTAGTACATAATTGGGTGCTGATACTGGAATTTGGGTATATTCAATTGGATGGTGGTGCCGAAGTTTACAGTTCCTTATTTTCTACTGACCTTCATGGCTATATAAAATTTCTCTCACACAAAATTGATAATCAGATGGCTCAGGTGTGTCTTGAAGCCAAACTATAACTGGCCCAATAACAGTAAATAGATCAATTAAATAGATCACTTCACTTAACCATAATTCTTCATTTCATGACCCTTCTGCTCTTGCTGAGCTTAAAAAATTTTTTGGGAGTTCGGAACCAAAATAAAGAAATTGAACTTTCAATTTGATTCCACTGGAAGTTGAGACTATCGCTATAATTCTTCCTATTCTTATTTCGTTGTCCCTGTATTTTATAAACGATCCTGTTTGATATAATTCTAAATATAATTTATATTTATTAGTTATGATTATTAGGTACCTATTATCATTTAAATTATGCTTGCTGGCAAGCCAAACACCAAAAAAAAATAAATAAATAAAATAAAAATAAATTAATAAATAAATAAAATAAAATAAAATAAAATAAATATTGTTTATTTAATAAAGATCATAAAATGTTTGGATAAAATGATAAGTTGAAAATAATTTTGGTGAACAAACTAATTATATACTGATTAGGATTTTCCAGCAAGCATACATATGTATATTTTTCATAGTACCATTGTTTATTAACACAGATGATAAGCCAAAGAGGGGTGATTGTTGGCATATGTCACCATGCCAGAACTCTTCTTTTGTTTCTGCTTCAACACTAGGCCTAAAGTATATTTGAGGCCTCAAAACTTTATTACTTAAAACCCTCTTTATATGTTCGCTTACAGTAATTGTATAAGCATTCTTAATAGGTGTTGACGTTGATAGTGTCTTCAGATTTTGAATCAGAATTTGATGACACTTAATTTTTTGTAAGAAAAGTCTGCGACATAATAACTTCAACCTTCGGATGTTCCTAATTACATATTTAGGTCGGAACTTGGGATGTTGGATAATAGACACAAGGTCTTTGTATGCATTAGTTGCTAATCATATTAATAAGAATTAAGCAAAATAAAACAATAAATTAATTGATAGAATAAGAATTAAGCAAAATAAACAATAATTAGTTAATAGAATAAGAATTAAGCAAATAAAACAATAATTAATAAATAAAAAAAATAACAAAACTTGTCTTTATACTAATACTTACTAATAATATGCTGGGTGACCCAAGTGAAAAATGACATCTTCGTAAAATTTTTAAAATATGGGCCATACTCTCCAGGTAGTGACTAAAAATCGATTCCACTATCTACTATAATTTGGTTAAAGTTTTTTTTTTCTTCTGTTTGTAATTCAATTTTTTCTGTAACTAAAAATGATCACTGCTACTAGATGTATCTGAAGTCATAAAAGAATTGTATTTGAGATCATTAGTATGTTGACTTTTATCAAAGAGCAAACTTTTACTATCGAAAAAGTTTTCTTGTAAACTTTCACCACTATTGTCTCTATTTATTGAAACTTGTGAAGCTTGGCTAACAGTATTTTGTAAATCTTCGCTAACAGTATTTTGTAAACATTCTCCTCTTTGTAAGGTTTCGGAAATATTATAAGTGATACATTTTCGTAATGCAACTTTTCAAGTTGCTTTATTAGTTCGAACTCTTTTTATTTTATTATGATTATTATAGTATTCAATTTTTGACTGACGATATTCAAGGAAAAAGAAAAAATCGAAAAAGACGTGAAGTTTAATGAAGATTCACTTATATAGATTTTTATGACAGTGTTTAAATTTAATCAATTCCAAACCTAATTTTATAAACTTGGTAAAATATCTTTAAATTTACGAAATTTACTAGCCAAGTCCTGGTCAACATAATACATATTTTTCATTTGCACATGATTTTGTTCTTTTTATTTATATTAACCATATGAGTCAAATCCAAATATATATATGTATAATATACAACTGCAAATTAATTTTTTTCATATAATTTCTTTCTTATATATACACAAATAAGATAAATACCATCAATAACTTGAACATTTTT